AAAAAAAAAAAAAAAAACACAATATAAACGTAAAAATTCTTTCTCTTGTACTTGTACACGTTTGTATTACATACATAATTGACCCAAATGACTAGGTTTTATAAATTTGAAAAACCTCGAAACAAAAGAATAAATTCTAAGAAAACAAAAGCCTCTGCACACATATGGAATGAGCAACAGAAGCACCCATTACATGGTTTTAAGCTACTATATCTGCGCCACTCGTAAAATAACACCACCCAAACATTCAAACAATGGAAGGGACATCACACAAAATACACACCAAAATTGAGGGGATGATACATCCCTGGACTGGAGAAATGGGGGAGCGGAAGCAAACGGGAAGCAACCCAACAAAAACAAAAATCTGCAAAATTCAACAATATAAGAATTATCATTTGAGAAACTGAAATATGCAGTAAATATGGAAATAACTTGCTACATGAACCGCATTGACAAATTCTATGTCCCCCACGTGATCAGGTTTGATCTCATGTATTTATACATATATTACTCCACGTCCAACGAGAAGAACCCAACAAATGAACTTGAAACAAATGAAAGGGCATTATCCTCGGAGATGATCCCAAAAGGGTTAACCCCCAAGAAGGGTTTTCCTAAACCACCAACACTTCCGACAAAATCTAATGTACAGCAGATTAAATTGGAAAAAAGTAAATCAAACTAGAGCAGTGTATAAAGTATTAGGCATTACTGAGTTAATACCTTTCTATGAAAATCAAATTCTCACCATCATTTGATCTAGCGGGATTAACCACATTGGAAGCTAGCAACTGGGGAAGGATCATACACAATGTCTCAACTCTTAGGTGCAATAGCCGCTAAAGCATTAGCATGCACAGGTGAAAGACTGCCCAAGATGGGCTGCATCTGGTGGCCGTAAAGTGATAACAGGTGGGAGAATGCCCTGCCTATATGTGCCTTAATTTCAGGACTTTCAACAGATGATACAGCCACCTGAGCAAATATATTAACCAGCTGTGGAACAAAAGGAAGTATCTGCGAATCGGAGGAAATATCCATACACGTTGTTAGGGAGGAATACTAACAGGATAGACAGGACTAAACAATCTCAAGTCAACACAATCCAAATACCTTTTTGTTAAAAATAATTCAATTACCTGTGAATTAGAAGATAAAACTAGATTGCAGATGCATCCATAGACTGATGTTGATTCTTCGTAGTCCTCCTTTAAAGGAAGCACTTGCAAGAATACAGGTAAGACCTGACAAATAAAACTGAGTAAATACATCACCATGGCAAAAAAAATTGAAATCCATCTTGGAAGGGAAATAATCTAGAAGGTCAACCTGGTTCAACGGAATGGACTCAGGATGAGCCATAATCATCCTTGCCACAGCACCAGCTGCATTGTCCCTCACGGCATTATCAGGCTCAGACTCTCCAAATAATGAATAAAGGCGATTTAAAACATCAGTATAGTATCTATTTCAAATGTAAGGATCACGAACAAAAAGAGAACAAATATGAACACAAAGTAGAAGGTGGCCATGAATCAGATCATAATTAAGCCCCAAAAGCTAAGGCTGCAAAAGAGTGGAATGCTGCTAAAATAAATGAGAAAATTATAGATAGTGAATTAGAATGAAATTCTATTCAACACAACAGGCTGGGATATTATTTGTTAAAAGCCATTACTTTCCAGTACTAAGTACTCTATTATAACGATCTGCATGTATCCCGCAGAGTTACTAAACCTAAAAGGTTTTGACAAACAGAAGGATACTTCAACACAGAATTGCCTCCATTCTTGCACAGCTCACCCACACAAAATGCGGCATTTCTCCTATTGGTTGCCAGTGGAGATCCCAATTCTTTGAGTACAAGATGCATTACAGCCTGTAACAGTGTCAATTGGAGCAAATCAATAAATAAAGATTAAGAAAGTTAGCTAATTGAGTAATAATCTATACAATTCCTAAAACTTACATCAACATAGCCAGCAATTGGAGCACCCATATGCTGGGCAACTTCTGCAAGGGTTGCAACAACCATTGTCCTATCTTGTGGTGGGCGTGATTGTTTCTGTAATCATCAATTATGAATAATCATATAGAATAAACAAAATGCAAGCAGTATTCACTTCATATGACAAATGGATAAAGCAGCAGCTGACTGACCGCAAATTTCATCAATGGCTCATACAGCTGTGAAAAAATAGAAGCAAATTGAGCACCCATTGCCTTTGCAAATGCTGGAAGGAGGTCAGAAACCGCATCCATGAGCACTTCATCATGTACAGTATCATCATCATCAATCTCACTGTCCGACTCTATCTGCTGACAAGTAGATTCCTCACGAAGCAATATCAAAGTTGTTTCAACTAGTTGAGGCATGTCTGAGGTAGGAATATTAAAAAAGAAATATTATTTTGTAAGTTTCTTCGGCCAGAATAAGAAGCAACAAAACATTGAAAAAAGCTTGTCAAGTTTCACAAACTCACAAGGCTCAACAGCCATGTATCCAATATCCTTGATTATCTCAGCAATGCTCATGCAGGCCTGAGCGACAACTTCCTTATCATCATCTTCGGACATTGTTTTAATGTAAATATTCATCACAGTATCTGTAGACAGAAAAGCCATAAATTACTTTTCTAACAAATAATTTTAATATAAAAATCCTTAGTTTATATTTAGGGACAGGTATATATTGCTCACCAAGAATCTCTTTTGTCTTTGCAATTCCTTCCTGCAAAAATACATCAATTTACAGTCTCATAAGTTAAATGTAAAAATTCAACAGTTTTAAGCAACACAAATACATCATGGACCACCGGAAGTGTTAGTTATTATAAAACTTAACGAAAGATGTTCATCATCCCACGATATAAATATTGGTCACACAAAGAAAACCTGCCAACTTATTAATTTTAGCAATATGAACAAAACTACTCCATAGAAAAACTTAATTTCTGGCAAAAAATAAACACGAAATTTCTCAAAAAAAGGCATGTGGTTATTTCGTACTTACATTATTGTTCTGTAAAACTGCTTGCACAGCCGTCAAAATATCTGTCAATGACAAATTAATCAGAAGTAAAAATCCGATAATAAAAATGCTCATTAGACAGCTCCATATATCATATGATCTTCACAATAACATATCTAGAAAGCAAAGGCATGCATCACGCTTAAGAAGATAAATGGAAGAAAATTTAACTGTGAAACAGGAAGATCATAATCAAGTACAGGTTTCCCATCTAACTGAGTAATTTTTTTTTTTTTTATTTTTTTNAAAATCTGACTGTGAAACAGAAAGATCAGACATGACATAACCAGAAGATATGTTAGAAAAGCTATTACCAACTGCACACGATGTCAGTTGGCCCAGGTTTTCCAAAAAGTTGTCATCTCAACATTTTATCAAAGATCCACATATAGCATGGTTAGAAAAATTTACAACATTTGATCTCAAGGGCCCTTGTATAAGGGTATAATCCAGTGTTTCGAGTATAAATTACTAAAGCAAAGGCTAATAAAATCCCATGAAATGTTGAAGAATCAAATATGCAGAAGAATGTGTTGAGTATGAATGAATTAAAGCAGGCTTATGGTGGATCATTATCAGGATAACAAGAGAAACTACAATAATAACCACTCACATTTCAGTGAAATTATTGCCTGGAGACGAACATCCTCGTGAAAGTATGTCGAGTGTCTAATTAAAATCTTCAAAGACTCCTCAATATACCTTAACTTAAATCAAGGCATCCAAATATTATTTTTGTTTCCATTTATAATTTAAGATGTATATTTATGAAGAATCACGAAGGATACGGAGCATAGGAGCTCTTCGTGTGAAGAGCAAATAAGCCCAGAGCTTGAGTAGCAGCTGCTTTTTCATCCAAAACACCTGTTCTTACACTAATATTACGTACTCGAGGTTCGTCATGCGCTTCATCATCAGATGAGACACCACCAAATCCATTGACATTTTCATCTCCGTCAGAGTCATCAATATCCACAGCAGAGCCATCATCAAGGTTGCAGGAGGAAAAAACCAGAGGAACTACATGGGGAAGATACTGTTCCAAGATACAATGCACTCGTTTAGATTATAGTTTTTTTATTAAGATGACAATTTCATGGAAATACAACTACCTGGGTAAAACCATCTTCTAAAAGTTCCGCAGCGTTGCTGAAGAATCCATGAGTGTATTCCCGAAGCTCACTGTATTCTAAAGCAAAACCCTGGATAAAGATAGACCATAAATAATCTATATGAAGATGACAAATTCTGGGTATTCAAAAGTGAAGTAGTTATTACAGAGATTGCAGCTTCCATGAAGGCAGGTAAAATTGGTTCCATTTTCGCCCTCCCAACAGACATTGCAACTATTCCTGCCAACTCAGTTGCCCTTGCTCGTGCCCTGAGGTCCTCATCATTTGTAAGCACCATAAATATTTTCATCAACTCAAGTACCCTCTCAGCATATGGAACAAAAGCCTGCTCTGCTGCAGACGCAACTGAACCAATAGCAGACTACAATAAAAGCAAGCATTATGTTGAGAACGATGACTATTTAAGCAATTTGATATGCTAGTTGCAAACGCACTAGTATTGTACCATGCATGTCTCTTGCAAATTACGTGGACTACTTTGGAGGGCACCAAGTAACTTTCCCATTAAAGGATCCAGAAAAGGAAGTATCTCTTCTCCCATGTTCTCACAAAATGCCGCCAGGGCATAATATGACTTCTCCTGTTAAATTACAAACAATAGCTTCTTTAAATCCAGGAAGGAGGAAATTCAAGAGCAAACCGGCTAATAATTATAGCATTTACCTTAACTTCATCAGATGAATCCTCAACGGCATTCAAAATACATGGAAGAACAATTTCATGGTGAGATAAAATCTCAGGCTGCAGATGTTCCGCAAACTGACCAAGTGCAAAAGATGCAGCCCCACGAACCATTTGTTCAGGATCTCTAAGAGCTCCCAAGACAATATGGAGGACAGGTTCCAGTTTGTCTTTCATCAATTCCCCACAACCCTCTGAAATAACACCTAAAGCTGTAACTGAAGCTTCCCTGAACTTTGGATTGGCATTCTGACTGCTTAGAGAAGCAAACTCAAAAACAGGAGGAAACACTTGCTTTGACAGACTTAAAGCCATTGTATCAATAACTTCAGCAGCAGCTCGATCGGGTGCAAGATCATCATCTTCATCTCGGTCAGTTGATTCTGCAAGCAAAGGGCACATAATTTGCAAGATAGGCCCAACCAACTTGTACTTTTTGAGGGAACTTGATTTATATCTTGCAAGCCATGAAATAATTTGAATAGCCTATAACATAAAGGCAAAAGAGCAAGACATGAGCACTTGTATTTCACTCTTTATAATTACTATATAACCTTTCTGCCAATATGTGCTGCTAACCTGATGGCGTGTGTTAGAGTCCAGATTAGGACTCGCACAAACTTCAAGAGAAAACTGAACAATGGCTTTTACAGATTCCCCAAGAAGAGGAGCAGGTGACTCAATTAACTCATCAAATATTTCGAAAGCAATCACAGCTACATCCTCTTCACCAGAAGCAAGACATTGTCTTGATACATTCAAAATGCTCGGAATAAACTCTCGAAACTTAATCTGTAAAACACATGCATTAGCCGTCAAGAAAATAATAGAAAGCTATACCTCATTCAAGATGCATACTTGAAAAGTTAAAGCTTATCACTCAGGCACTAAAAATTCGTTTGATCATGCAAAGAAATAATGGTAATCCATTTCTCAGTTACTTATTATTGTTAAGACGCAAATTCCAACTTCGGATCATTTTTCGGTTAAAAGAAGCAAAAATGTAGAAAAATCATGCTCTTCTGCCAGGATAATACTACAATCAGCAGCTTGCTGCATATATAAACACCAGTCTAATAGAGAAATTATGAAAAACATATCTAACTTCATATTCTTAGCTCATAAGACTTCCTTTTCTCTTTCAAATGTTACAACTCCATGATCAGATGAACTTTCAGTTTTAAGCCATATTATGACTAGAATTGAATGTAATATTTTGGAAATAGGAAAATATTCCCACACACAATAGAGCAATTTCCTTCAATCTAAAAGAGGCACAGAAAGTTATAAAAAGAAACTAAAAATAATGAATTAAGGAAAGGGAGCATATGCATTCATCATTTAAAGGATGCAATGCTACTGGTTAAGGAACGCTTGACAAGGATTCACAGAAGTTTCACAGCCTAGCAGATATACTTTCAAATTGGCATGACAAACATGAGTGTGGTCACCAATAGAGACCCCACACATGCTGCAGACAAATACATCATCCTTTTGTTGTAAGATAAAAGTATTGATTCATAGTATGACTGAATCCATGAAAGAGCATATGAATATTTAAAACTCACCACTTCTGCCTCATCATGAGTGAACTCCAAAAAGGAACCAACTGCCCTGATACAACCAAAAAAATGTGTAAGTAACCTTGCTCAATTATCCTGAGAAAGAAAAAGACTGCCAAACAAATTTCCAAATAAACAGTACTTGAGAGCAGCAACTCTAACGCGATTACTGGTTTCATCTTGTAAGCACTTGAGTAGCAGAGACTGCAAATCTGTGAAATATGGTCGAAATGAATTCCCAATTGTTTCAGTCAAGGAGCTGAAGAGTATCAAGGCCACCTAGAATCAAATGAATTCTTAGTTTTATGGAATGTATAAGAAATGAATAAGTAAGAATTATGAAAAATATAAAATGTAATAAATAAGCTTACAGACATCAAGTTTAGCTTGTCAAAAGGGAAATCTAACTGAATATTTTGATCTATCAAGGAATCAAGAATTGTAACATCAGCATGTGTGCATTTTCTCTAAAGAAATAACGGTGAAAGGAGATTTATGTCAAAACTTTACAGAATGCGTAGAACTATGTCTGACAACATTCCATAGCAGATGAAGAAAGCATTTCGTCTTATGGTGGGACGTCCTTAAAGAGATAGTATTAGGAAAAAGATCGTTTGTGCAGTCTATAAACAAACGAATTTAGGTACTGACTTCTTACATCTGTTCATGCCATGAATATTGCTAGTACACACTGCCGAGATTCTTACAAGGTAACATGTACTTTGACAAAAACTCGCATAAAAAATCATATAACAAAAAGAAATGGTCAAGATCAGGTTGAACGTCAATGGACTAACCTAGACAAATAAAACGAAACAGGAATAGTAACATATGAACATGGGACCTTAAATGAACATCTACAGAATAGAGGAAACATACTTCTCTGTGCTCTTCCTGAGCACTTTGACTGCACTGGAACAGAAATGGCAACAAATCAGGCCATTCCCCAGATGGGACAGCATATTTTGCAATGATGCTCACCACATTCGCACTAGCACGCCTTACCGGTGGACTGCCAAGATGAGTAAGCCATAAATCATTCTGACAGTAACACCATATTCAAACAAAACTACAGAATAAATGGCATCCCTGATATAGCACATCTATGAACTGTGAACATTGAAGGAAGACAACCAAATGCAAAAAGATTATCTTCAATAATGTAACAATCCTCTTGCTAACATAATCACAATATTATTTGTCAATAAAGATACAATATTCACTATGGAATTGATTTGTGGATAGATAATAGAAAGATTAAAGGGACTTGGTGTATGAATGTTAACCAGGCTGAGAATATAAAAGCAGCACTTAATAAAACACTGAAACAATTAAGTTGGTAGGTGAGTGAGGGGCTGTGTAACACAGTCAAGGTCGGAAAAACACATCAATTGCATCTGATAACATGGAAAACAGTCTTGAAAACAAACTTTATCCAAAACCCATCCAAAATTCAAAATGAATCGGTTCCAACTCAGTTATATTTATAAAAAGCCTCAATCAAATTACTTATAAAGATTAAAAAANAAAAAAATCCGACCCACCAATTCTCAATGAAGCTGAACAGTTAATTAAATCATAAATGTGATTAGAAGTCGTATAAAAATATCAAAGCCGACCTGTGTTCCACAGTGATGCTCTCAATGAGTGATTGCTTAACTAGCTGGCGGAGCTGCGGTGTTAGCTTCCCCCAGTGCCCGGTAATTTTCTTGCGGAGGAGAACAGCGGCGAGCTGGCGGACGTTAGGGGTCTTGGCCGTGCGGAGGTGGTGGATTAGCGCCGGGACCACCTGCGGATCCTTTGACAGCCGCTTAATCTGGTCCTCCGCCTGCCGACGGGCGTCATTGTCCGGCATAAGAAATTGAATCAGCAGAAGCTCCAGCGACTGCGCCATTTGCCACTCCCCGCGGTTTTTTCTGCTTAAGGGATGGGAAGAGGGATAGACAAGAGGAGGAGGCTGCTACTGCTTAGGGTTCCTCGTTTTGTATTTGCTTAGGAGTATATATGATGAAAAATGAGCAGTCGATGGCGGGGGGCTTGGGTTTTATCGTGGGGGCGGAGATGGGGCTATGTCGCTATGGGGGGCGGGTAGTGACGACGTCACGCGCTTTTCACATGTGTTCCGATTGCTCTATCTCTACTCCAACGCGGACTTTACTCAAGTCTAAAGTAGAGTGAAACATTGTCTCCAACTCTTATCCTTAAATTTTATTCTACATCAATTATATTATTTTTTATTCAATTTTTACTAATACATTTATATTTAACATAAAATACATTTATTAATGAAATGTGTGTTGGAAACTTATGATTTTAATGAAATGTACTTGTTTTATTGTGTTAAATTTTTATTCATATGGTGTCATTTTAATATTAAAAAATTACAAAATAAAATTATAATACATCAATAAATAAAAAACACAAAGTTATTTAACATAAAAATGCATTGTACAAAGTTATTTAGCATAAAAAATACATATACTAATACAAATTACACAAAAATTATCAATAATATTATATTAAAACACATTAAACAAAAAAGAAAGAAAAAAAATTGTAGCGTTAGCTACGAGGAAGACAAGAAAAAAGTCCTGTCTGGGACCAACTGGCTCTTCGAGAACCAATATCTGGTGCTGTATGAATGGGAGGAGGGGATAACTGAGCACAACTAGTGTTTCAAACGAATCAATTTATGGGCACAGGTGCATAACATTCGTCTTCATTTTAGGACTGAAAATTGGACAAATCTTCAAGAAAGTGAAGAATGTCATGGTGATTAGAGTAGGGGGGAATAAAGGTAACTTCATTAGAATTCTTGTTTCTTTGGATATTTCTAAACTTATTCCAGTTTCTCTACATTAAAACCCCACAGCACCCATATTGAAGTACAATTTAGGTTTGAGAAATTAGTGAATCTTTGTTTTTATTATGGGAGAATCGGCCATCTAGAAAGGAATTGTATTCAAAGGAGTGAAGATATTGAAAGTGGGAATCTCCAAGAAGGTGAGAATGGTGAGTTGCTTAAAGCAAATGACAGCTTGGGTGGAGTTAGGCTAATAACTCTAATAGCTCAGATCATTTCAAATCATATTCTAATCCCTACAAACAGGATCAAATGCCTTTCTCATCAGGAAAAGATAATTTTGAATCCCAATGCCGGAGTGAAGAGGGAGGACATAACAAGTCTTCAATCAATGTGGAGATGATCAACATTAGAGCAGGTGATGGCAGAGACACTAGCAGAGTCATATCTGAGCAACTCTCATCTTCAAAAGCGTTACCTCCTCAGTCACTAATCCTGCCAAGCATTGAGGAAAGTGGAGTTCCAGAGCTTAAAGTGATGGGCAAGTCAATGGATGTTGAACCTAATAATCAAGGCAAGCAGGCTGGGGTTAGTACTAGTGGAATCAAAGCTAAGTAGAAAGTAAAAGGAATTGGGAAGAACTGGAAAAGAGCTCTAAAATCAGAGGGGAGGTTGTTAAGGCAGCAAGGTGTTCTTATAAACTTCTCTGGTGCTCCAGACTTAAAAAATAGTAGAAATTCAAATTCTTAGCAAGAAGAAAATGAGAAGCTAGTGCGGTCAGGATCAAGAGACAAGAAGAAAGCTAAGGTGGAAGAGAAACAAGTGGTGGTAGCCACCTTAATTTGCCCCATAGTGACCAATGAAGACAATACTGTGGAACTATAGAGGTCTTGGTGGGCCCTCTACAGTTGCCCAGTTAAGGGAAGCCATTAGGCACCATCACCTAAATTTCATTTTTCTGTCGAAAACTAAGAAATCTTTAGAATTTCCTAAAACAGTCAGTAAGAAGTTGGGGTTCCAAAATAGGTGGAGGGCAATAGAGCCTAGGGGTATGAGTGGGGTGTTGTTGTTGTTATGGGATAATAAAGTTGAAGTTTTGCATGTTCTAAGCAATTAATTTTGTTTAGAAGTGGAAGCTAAAGGGGGTGGGGAATCAATTACTTTCTGGCTGATTCTGGTGTATGATAGCACATAGAAGTCTGTGAGAGAAGCTCAGTGGTCTTATCCAAGGTTTTCAAAACCGAACCGGTGGAGCTACTTGTTCAATGGTTCACTAGTTGAACCAGTGATCGAATCGGTCAAACCAGTTTAATAATATATATATTTTTTATTTATATGAATTTTGTATATTATCATTTTGAATTGGGTAATTTGGGGGATTAGAATGTAATATGTTCTCAAGCTGAGAAGAGAGGAGGAAGGGTGAAGCCTGTTGGAAGTCTGTAGGGTTTCAATAGCTTCATAGCAGGGATGGGGATGGGGAAATCAATATGAGAGGTCATAGATTTACTTGGGGGATAGTAGAGCTCAAAAAGGGGTTAATAGAAGAAAGCTTGATATGGTATTTGGGTCTTTTAACTGGATGGTTGGTCACTCTAATGCAGTAGTGCTCAATATTTTTAAAAGTTCTTTTGATCATATTATGTTGATACTGGAGTCAGATCCTGTAGAAAATCTCAGAAGTAAAAGAAGATTCTTTTTTTACAAGAGGTGGCTTCAGAAGGTAGGTGTGGACGATACAGTTAAGGCAGCTTGTGAGCAAGCTCAGGAAGGGACACCCATGTTTATTAAAAGAGAAGATTAAGAGAACCAGAGTTGCACTCCTAATTTGGAGTAAAGCTTTTAGTTCAGCCAACTCGCAGGCTATTGCAAAGCTGACTTTAACTCTTGAACAAATGAGACTAGCTGGTGGGCAGAGAAACTGGGAAGAGTGGGACAAATTAAGCAAGAATTTGATGCAGTCGAACAGTTTTGGCACCAGAAGTCAAGAGCAAACTGGCTGAGAGAAGGAGATCATAACACAAAATTTTTCCATGCTCTGGCAATGCAAATGAGGAAGACAAACTCAATCTTTAGACTGGTGGATAGCAATAATAAGGTGTTTGAAAATCCAGCTGAGACAGAGAACTGTGTTGTGGAATTTTATGAAAATCTGTTTAGGTCAGAAGGGTCCATAGGAGAGGAAGAGTTGTTGCACTTGATACCTAACTTTATTTCAAACGACATGAACAAGGTGAGACAGAGAACTGTGTTGTGGAATTTTATGAAAATCTGTTTAGGTCAGAAGGGTCCATAGGAGAGGTAGAGTTGTTGCACTTAACTTTATTTCAGAGGACATGAACAAGGAGCTCACAACTGAAGTGGGGGGACCAGATCATATGAGATACCATATCGAGTTGACTTAATTCGAGAAACCAACCAACTGAACCAGGTGAACCGGTAGGTCGATCATAGATAAAAGGAGGCATCTGGTCGACGAAGACGCCTATAGGTCGAGCTAGAGATCTCAGATGGCCTGACGAAAACTCGGCTTGGAGGCATGATGGTCGAAGGATCGACCAGGAAACAAAGTACATGAGCCTAGCTGGGAAGGCGATCTACCTTATGATGATATGGGTCATGATTAGACGTCTAACAAGGAAAACTAAGGGATGACGGAATATAATGAGGATTAGCACCACATGTAGATTGAGTTATGTGGCATAACAAAATTAGATAGTTCGGGTTGTACGAACTGGTAACTGAGGCAGTCCAGGACAATCTTGTTAAACAAGGTAACACCCTTATATAAAAGGGTGAGGTACGTACATTTGCACTTTTACACACTTTATTATCTTGTGAAACAAGGTAACAACGTTTTCATCACTGTGGACTGACTTGATCGTCGGAGTGCTAATGCTGAGAACCTCTTTCGGCTCATTTGGCAGGTCTACGAACAGGTCAGGAAACAGATCAGGTCGTGCGAACCCGCTTGAGGTCTTTTGCACACCATACAATATTTTATTTTAACTTGTGTATATAATTTAATTTAGTTACACTAATAATAATAACATTAATGTACATTAAATATTTACCATTACATAAAAAAGACCATTTTTATATTTTTATAATAATAATAATGACATTATATGAAAACAAGTTTTAGACTAAAATAATAGGTGAATATTATATGATCAAAAATAAATAAAACTATTACTTTTTTAATATATGTATTAAAATATTATTTATATTAATATAAACGAATTAGCAGACTAATATATTATTTAACTTATATAATATCCCTAAGAGTGTGATTGAATATGAATTTGATTTGGTTTTGATTGGTTTTTTTGTTAACCATAATTAATTTTGAAAAATGTTGTATGATTAGTTGTTAGTGGAATCTTGAGTTTATATGAAAATAATATTTAAAATAAAATAATTAAAGTTGATTTGATTTAAAAGTATGAGAGAGATGATGTGAAATGATAATTAGTTAAACTTAGTTGAGTTAATGCATAGTGAATTAAAATTGATGTGATTTGTAAGAATGATTGATTGATATCTATATATATATATAAAGGTTTGATTATTTTTTAAATAGTAACTATTTCCCTAAAAAAAATCTAGTTATTATTTTGAGAAATTAATTTAACTATTTATGGTATATATTAAATGATCACTTATAAAAATTGCGGCTAAATATTTAAGGAAGTAATTAAGTCATATTTTAAGATACCTTAATTGTTCAAATCATGTGAATTAATTAATATATGGTATAAAGTGGGCGGATTTATTTTTTGTATTGATGGTTGTTTCTATAGGAAATAAATCAATCAATATATGATATAAAGTGAGCAAATTTATTTAGGTTATTTGATGACTGTTTTTTGGTAGAAAATTTGTTGAAAACTTAATCAATATACGGTGTACTCTTTTCTGTAATGCGCATGCTAATATATTGGTTTTTAGGCATGTGTTTCAATTTTGTACGAAATTAACATAATGAAATAAGTAACTCTCACAAAATATTATGAACTAATATTTTGATATAATGTGCGTGTATCGATGTTTTTTTTATAGAAAAAGCTTTGGTTAATTTGAATAGTTTATACAAGAATAAATTCTTTATAGTTAATGGAGCAATATAAGTTCAATAATTATACTTATTATTCACACAGATTTTTAAATATAAGATAAAATTTTACCAAAATAATTTTTATATAGAATCACATTGTAGTCAAATCAAATTTATGAATAAAAATTTAAAAATGAAATTTATGAATACAATGTAATTTATTATCAGTTACGTGCACCGTATGAGTTGCGTACTAATTTTAAATAGACATGTTTTATGTAATTTTGCACAATTTAAATTTCATATAAAATTTTCAATAAATTAATATAGGTAAATTGTATTATATATTGATTCTATATTTTAATTATAAATATTATATAATTAGTATTTCTAATTTATTAATATTAATGAATATTTCTTACCCGTGCATCGCACGAGATTCGTACTAGTTATTTAATTATATTGATAATAGTGATAAACGAGTTAAAAATTATGGATTTTTTTTGAATTTAATCTCCTATCATACCCTAACCGGCTCATGTTTAACAGTTAAAAAACAAAACGACAACACTCATGAAAACACATGAAAACCAAATGATAAAAAATACACCCTAAAGGGCTCACGTTTAACAATTCGAAAAAAATAAAAATAAAAATGATAACACTCATGGAGAGGATGGGATGTCACCTCTGTTCTTCCAACATTTCTAGCCTATCATCAAACATGATCTTTGTAAGGACGTGGTGAGCTTTTTTCAATCTGGTATGTTACTCAGAAACTGATATCATACTTTAATCACACTTATACCCAAATGTCCTAATCCAACTTCACTCAGTAATTTAAGACCCATCAGTCTGTGTGGGGTCTCCTATAAAATCATTTCTAAAGTGCTGACTACAAGGCTCAAAGGGTACCTCAATTCCTGTATTAGTGAGTGTCAAGCTGCATTTTTGCCCGGTTTTGCTATGGAGCCATCGGATGGCTCGGCTTATGAAGCCATCCTTAGCTATCAACAAATGATGTATTGACACGTGTCCTGCAATAAATACACATTGGACACGTGTCAATACATAAAGTTATGGATGACTCCATAAGGGAACCATCCGATGGCTCCATAGAATTACTGCATTTTTGCCTGATAGACAATTAATGGACAATGTGATTATAGCTCAGGAAGCAATTCACTAGTTGAATAGGTATAGGTCTGGTGGTAGATGCTACATGGCAGTAAAGTTGGATATGATGAAGGCATATGACAGACTGGAGTGGAACAGTGTCATCAAAGTGTTATTGCAAATGGGTTTTGATAGGGTGTTTGTTAAATGGGTTGTTGATTGTATATCAACNTGGTGAGGTTGTGGGTTTGTGACTCCCTCTAGAGGATTAAGATAGGGGAATCCTTTATCCTCATTCCTGTTAATTCTTGTTTATGAGGTTCTCTCTAAACTAATTATAGTTGAGGTGAGACTGGGTAACTTTAAAGGTTTAAGGCTATCAAGGAATGGTTGGTTATCACACACCTTCATGTGATTCTCTAGTCTTCTGTGAGGCTTCTTGTGAGCAAAGTCAAACAATTTTGGAAATTCTAGGTAAATATCAAAGATCAAATAAAAGAAATATTTTGTGATATCTTTAAATTCAAAACAAATTTGGTAATGAAACAGAAATTGATGGGAAGCAATGATATATGGTAGAAAAATTATTTATGCCACTTTCCAAACCAATTTTGTTTTCAAATTTATTATCCGAACATAAATACAAAGAATGATATTATGACATATAGGATTCCAAAGTGTGCGAGCCTGTCACTTAAACTCAACACGTTTTGATTAATATATAGGAGGAGGGGGATTGGGGATTGGGGATTATATTATTAGGATTATCCTAACAAAAATAAAAGTTCTCTCTTTACTTTTATAACATGATATTTGCTTGCTAAAATAAAATGTTAAATAAAATAATACGTTTACACTATTTAACTTGTTTGTGCATAGAACCCCTTTTTTGATAAATTCCTGCACTTACACCAACACAACACACATAAGAGAAGGCCGAATTAGGATCGCGATTTGGATAGCTATTGTCTACAATACTCTGTTAAGTTAAAGACGACAGATGAGGAAACGAACGGCGATGGCATGGGGCGTTGCGATCGTATGCTTCGTAGTACTGATGTTAGTTACTCCCGCAATTCCTCAGTCCCAGGAATATCATGATTTTGCTGATAATCGTGATTTTTTTGGTATTATTTTGCTATTCATTCTCTATTTTTCTGTAATTTCTTTCAATATCATGCGGACCTTCTGCTTGATCTGAGAGAGGAACTTATAGGAGTTCAATAGTCCAACTCAATTTTCACAACGCCGGTCAATTCTCTGTGGAGTTTCTATTCGGCATCATNGGTCCTGTAAATGTAATGGTTTTTATCCGAACATGAGCTTTGCTTTATTTTCTGGAGCTCGGCCGCAAACTTACATGCTGCTAATAGTTTTTGGTTAATGTCATTAACTATTGTTTAAATTACTTCAAGAAAGTCCTAGTTACAAAAACGGTCTGTTTAGTTTGCTTGTTATTTTATTTCCTATTTTCAGGAATACCAAATGCATTGAACGTGATTTCCAACGTGCCTTTCTTCTTTGTGGGTCTAGTAGGCCTTGTACTTTGCTATTATGGGAACTACTTTAAGCTAAGGTATAAGGATTTTCTCTTTAAACTTGTTGAAATAGTTCGTTTGTGATGGTTATTATATATATACACCAACTCACCACCATTCTCTTGTTCTCTATGTATGCACGAAAGCTTGAAGGGCGAGCTTTGTGGCTGGACATTGTTCTTCATTGGTGTTGCAGCAGTTGCTTTTGGTTCCTCTTACTATCACCTGAAACCTAATGATGCCCGCCTTGTGTGGGACCGCTTGCCGGTGTGTTTTATGTTTGTCTTTCATTTCTTTGAAATGTTTCTTGCGCACAATAAAGGCTATTCATTGACACTTGAATTTTGGTTATTGTAGATGACTGTGGCCTTTACCTCAATCATTGCTATTTTTATTATCGAGAGAGTAGATGTGCACAAAGGAACCTTGTCCATTTTACCCCTGCTCTTGGCAGGTGTTGTCAGCATTTTGTATTGGAGGTAAGGATTTCTACTTTGCTATTTAGCAGCTATCATAGCAATATGTGATGTTGTTTATTTAATCGGCTAAGGAATGTGATTCCCTCCATTTTACTATAATCTTGGAGTCTTGGATTTTGATACATGTGGATACAACATTTTCCCTGAAAACAATAAGGTAGAAGTAAATGCTCAGCAGGATAAGATTTTATAATCTATATGCCTTTGATTCTGTCGTGAACCCTCACATAAAAAAGTATTGTTTCCTTTTGTGCTTTACTTCCTTGTTATAAGCAGTGTCAGTGTGAACTGTGATCAAATTTCTGCCATGGCGGAGTTCTACCAAACCGCCATTATATATGTTTGTGAAGGATGGCGGTGCCACAGGCCACCGTGGTGGGATTTCAGCCTGCTGCCATTTTTCGCCATCGATAACACTGATTATAAGATGATTGCTTATTGTAAATAAGGCTTTACACCAAATAAACAGTAAAAACATACCATTCTTTCTTAGATTTCCATCACTTTGATTTGCCTTTTTCTTAAAAAGGAAAAAGCCAAAAAAAAAAAAGAAAAAAGAAAAAAAGGACATCCATAAAGTAATATCTGATTGAAAATGTTTAGTCTACGGTTCATACATTTTGAATCTGGGGATGCGAGTAATATCTCAACCTAATCCCGAATGGTGTATTATGTATTCTAGACGGCCACTTTAGCTTCGGAATTGAATATTGTACTTAACAACTTTTCATTTGTAGGTTTTTCGACGACCTTCGTCCTTATGCCTTGGTCCAGTTTGTTCCATGCATAGCAATCCCAGTAATGGCTATATTATTACCTCCAATGTACACACATTCCACATATTGGCTCTGGGCGGCAGGTTTTGTTCTTTTTTTTTTTTGGCTTCTGTTACAGTGATACCCATTTCAAGTTCTTGATATAATGAGTAAGATTCTATTTGTATTTCCAGGGTTCTATCTCCTAGCTAAGATTGAAGAAGCAGCTGATAGACCTATTTATAATTTAACCCATCATATTGTGAGCGGGCACACACTTAAGCATTTATGTGCTGCTATGGTCCCAGTGTTCTTAACTCTTATGCTTGCGAAGAGGGAGACCATGGAAGAGAGGTATTTTCTTCTGCTGATGAAGTTGTGGTTTTGCAAATAATTTAAACATGGCTTTTTGAATTTTACTTGTAACTATTCGAAAAGATGACCATGTAGTAGATTTTCTTGTTAATTGTCCCAGTATCTTTATTAGAGCTCAAGGTTCTATAACTTCATATCATATGTTCCCGGCATTTACTTTGCTTTCCCTATGGTGACTTCATAAAGATTACCTGTGAAATAAAATATTACTAGAAAAAAATATATATAAAATTACTAGACATTCAACTGGATTTTAGTATGAAATTATGAATTGCAAAGTGGCTTTGTACAGAGGGTGTTTTTTGACGTCTTGTATTGCTATTCGTAGAGTTTGGTTTATATATAATCTTACAAATAATACTTGCTCTACTTTACTGCTGTAAAATTGATGAATTCATATTCTTACCCCTTGCACTACAGGGTCAGTTTACTACAGATGTGGAGGGTATTATGGACCAAGGTTAAAGAAAACGGCACTAATGTAGAGAATGTCTCGTATCAGTATTCTGTTGTCCCTGTGGAGGAATCAAGATAATTGAAAACCACTGGGGAAAAAGTTTGTTGGAATCAAGATAATATGTATAGGGGAAAAAGTTTGTGTTTTGATGATAGATTTGAGGACTCAACCCTGACGTTGTACAACACTACATAGATTTGATGATAGATTTGAGGACTCAACCCTGATGATAGAAAAAAAATTGATGTTTCTTTTAAAGAATGATGAAAAAGATGTAAGGGTTTTAATTTTGTGCCCAAATATTTTTAAGTAGAGATTATCTTAGTGGCTTCATGGGTCAAATGCAAAAATTGGATAGTTTCCGAGCCTTGGCTGAATTGACAATTATCTTTGCATCAAAATTAAATTTAGTGGGTAATCAATATTTTCATTTCAGTTACTCAGTTACCAACTCAAGTTTGGGTTGGATTAAAAAAAAAAAGGATTATGAACTTACGGATACGTGATTAAATATTTTATCAGTGTTTACAACTGGGGTGGTGGCGCAGTTGGCTAGCGCGTAGGTCTCATAGCTTGAAGAGAAATCCTGAGGTCGAGAGTTCGAGCCTCTCTCACCCCAATAATTATTTTTTATTTCATTTTCATTTGACAGACCATAAGTAATTTATATTTTCTTTTTCTTTTTTTTGTTATTTTTATTTTACCACAGTTGAGATTGGTTGTTTTGAATAGTTGATAAATATCCTGATTATTAAACTGATAACAACTAAGGGTGTGTTTGTATGTCAAATATCTCAATCCAAACTCATTCATATTTTGTATGTCAAATATCTCAATCCAAACTCATTCATATTTAAAATTTGACTCAATTTTAACTCAATTCTACTATTATCAATATAATTAAGTAATACCACCAATCATACTTACACATCACATCAACTTTAATATATTATTCATCCACTCACATAATTTTAACTAACTATCATTTCATATCATCTCTCTCCTACTTTTTACATCAAATCAATTTTAATTATATTATTTGAAATATTAATTTAACATAAAATCAAAATCTCACTAACAACTAAATATACAATTTTTTTCAAAATTAACTTTAATTAACAAAAAAAAAAAAAAAAACACTC